AACTGAGCGAGCCTCTTTAGGGCATAGTGATAGGAGTCCGAACCGTATTACCGAGCAGTGTCTCATATTCTCTAGATTTTTTGAATTCATCAACTGCCTGAGTTCGAGCCCTCACCAGCTGGTCCTCGAACTCCTTCTCAGCATGCATGAGCTCAAGCTTAGCTTGGTCATCCCTATCTGGTCTCGAACCTTCCTCATTTCAATTTGAACCAGATCATGCTCCACCTCGAGCTCGACCACCTTGCTCGAAGAATTCAGGCTCTTCATGGCCAAGCCCCGGGCCATGCTCAACGTCTGAAAAGGAAGAGCAACTAGTATCGAAGCAAGCAAGAAAAAATATGAATAACTAGTTCAAAGTTGAGGATGTACCTTCGGGATCATGAGCTCAAGTTCCATCATCCCCTTACCAAGATCGACCTCATCCTGGTACTTATTCACCAAGCTCAAAATCAAGGGGCATCGAGCATGTTCCTCCAACATTGTGTTGAGTAGATATGCGTTCACCTCCATATCCACTATCTCTGGAGTGCTGTGGTGGAGCGGATGGGCTCTTCGATGATTGCCCGATCCCACTAAGGATCTTACTCGTGGATGACTATTGAGCTCGATTCTTCCCCTTCGATAGGGCAAGTACTTTGGGCTTCGAGCCCTTCGACTTTTGGTAAACATTGGCAAAAAGTGAAGATGGATTGAAAGACATCTCTAAGTCTACAAAATATCACAAGGAATTAGCTCGAGAAATAGATCGGGGTATTAAAGAACAAAGGAAGATAGGATCGTACCCTCGAGCCCTCTTATGTTGGCAAGGTCGAAGGTATCGTTCTCGAGGAGGTAGTTGATTTTATCTGCAAGGGGATCGTGATTTACTAATCTCAACCTATCCCTCTCTGAAACCTCGAGGTATTCTTAACTTTCGTTGAACCTATCCATATCCAACATCTGCCACTTCGGCCTAAACAAATGATCGGAGTCTTAAGGCTTTACAAAAAAACGTCTTTTCCATCCCCGAAGAGAGCTCGGGGTCTCAGGAGTCCTAAACGCTCCCTTAGTGGATAGCTACACAAAACATTTATACTTGGGTGCGAACTTCAAGTCAAAGAATGCCCTCAAGAGGTCGAGTCGTGGCTGGATCTCAAAGTACCTACACATGATGAAAAAATAGACCAAGAGTCTCCAGCTATTGGGAACTAGTTGGCTCGGACACATCAAGCAATAGGTCAGGAAATGAATAAAAAAAGGTGGAGAGGCCACCTGAGCCCAGCTTTAAGGGCATCCCTAAAAAATGTCATCTCCCTCTCTCGAGCATCATCCACGGATTGACTTGGCTCGAGGGTCTTTATGTTAACTATGGGCATGACCCCGAACTTCTTAGCAACTTTTATAACTACATGTTCCTTATATTTAGTCATTTCCCTAGGGTAGGTCGGGTTTGTCTCGACCTCAGGATGCGAGCTAAAGGGGACTGCTACGTGTATGATGGCTGCATCTACGTTCGGGGCTCCTAGTGGTCAAACTCCTAGATGACTGACTACTGCTATTGCTCGACCCTTTACTGCTACTACTCGACATTATGCTATGTACAAAATAAATACTCGAACACTTACCTCTTAATGTGGTCACTTACAAAACCCTCTAACCCTCGACCTCAAACAGCTTTTACTGAGAGTTGAGAGTAAAAAAAGTGAAAAATGAGAGGTTAAAGGTGGTATTTATAGGGGTTAGAGAAAGGTCAAAGGTCGTATAGTCTCGGCCATTGGATTATGCCATGTGTTAGCCATCCAAGGTCAATCTTCCTCCACCCAACACGCTTCAGTCACGTGTCAAGCACCCGCGTCACCCACGAACATCCTATTAAGTTCGATCGCGGGCCTTTTCACTTCATTGCATCTCACCTCACAACTCGAGTACACAATTTTTAGCTGGACGTAGATGCATGAGGGATTCTGATACGTATTAATACTGTGCACCCCGAACTCGAGCACAATGGCCCAATCTCAACCCACCATTATTAGGCTAGGCTAGTTCAAAGTTCGGGCCTTGGGTTGAGGTCGGGGTAGTAGCTCTTTTCTCATGTCTCCTTGACCTTATCTCACGTTTTCTGGGCATACAAATCATATCTTAACTACAACTTCCCACTGTTCCCATTTAAATATGCTTCCTAACCTACAACGAATTTGACTTTAACTCAAACTGTGCACTTCTAACATAACACGAACTCTTTTTATAACTAGGATAAGGACTACAGGAGGTTGAATAATTTTAGGACTCCATCTCCAACATCTATAAATACACAACACAGCCTCATGATTCAGGTACGTATTTACATAATTTCTGCCATACAACCAATCCATTAACTTCTCTTTCTGACTTAAGTATCAAAGATGTGACGATGACATACCTCGATACCTTTGTTTCTGGTATTGAAGATTAGATCGTTCGAAGTTCAATCATCCAATTCGAGTTCATTCAGGTACAAATTTTTGGTAGGATCATCACCTATCTTTTCATATTGACTTTTAAGGTGTGTAAGGCATCCCTATTGTCAAATTTCGTTGATTTAAGCATTAAAAACAATAAAAATGGTCAAAATTAAAAATGAAGAATTGTAGCCGTAGCACTGAACTTTTTTTTTTTTTTTCAAATTGTACCCAATTTTTTTATTTGTGTACCTATAATCGTAAACATTAAAAACTTTATCTTCTTCCCTAATTTTAAAGGGTAAAATGATATTTTTATATTATTTCGTATAAAATAATTAAAAATAAAGATTTAAAAAGCAAAAAAAAAAAAAACCTACAGTATCCTTCCCTATCCCTCCACAGTTTTCATCTTCTTCTCCAATTTCATTCCCCTCCCACTTCATCTTCTTCCCCAATTTCCCCTCCCCACATTTCATCTTCTCTAAGAACTTCCATAGACGGTTTAATAGTGTAATCTATGTAGTCTACTACAAATTCACTAGACAATGGAAGGCTAAAAAAATGTTTGGCTTTGTTTGTAGCACAAAATGTTGAAGCTCGGGTAGCCAGGGGCGAATCCTCCCCTGTGCTGGATCTGTCGGGAAAAAAATTTAAATAAGATTTATGAAACATAATTATATATATATATATATATATATATATACAGAAATGATCTAATGAGCACCGATACTCATCTTATC